GCCCACTTAGCCCCCCGCCCGCCCCCCGCCCCTTTAGCCCCTGCCCCGACGCGCGCTCCGCCCCGCTGGCCGCGCCCCACCTACCGCCCACTTAGGGCCACGCCCTCCGCACGCCCCGGCCCCGCCCACTTCACGCCCCGCTCTCAGTGCGCTCAGTTTTTTCGCCCGCTGCCCGGAACTCTGCGTTGCGGACGAGTTTCTAGAGGAGGGAATTCGACATTGGATTCCGACCCAACTCGCGCTCAGGCGGCGAGTGCGGCGCATGGCGGTGAGTGGTGGGCAGAGGACGTGCGGGTGGCGGGGCTCTGGGAGCTTTCGGCGGCTCCCAGTCACCTTCGTGCCGTTTCCCTTTCTCCAGGCCCTAAGACTTCCTGCTGGGGAGGCAGGCAGCCCGCAGAGCCCGGCTCCCCGGCCAGGTTGCCGGCGCCCCGAATTCTTCCGGTGTCCGGCTCTGCTCTGGACCCTCCGTAGGCGGTGAAGGAGACGCATCGGCGAAGAAGCAAAAAGAGAAGACCCGGGACAGAGTCTTTGTGGCAAATGGCGGCGAAAAGGCCTCAGAGAGCCCCGCCCCAGAGGAGGGCCTCCTAAGTGCCGAGGCCCAGGCAAGGGCGGGCCTCAGTCGGGAGGGCAGAATCCTGGGTGCAGGTCTGCGGGCGGTTGTGGTCTGCGGATCTGTGCGGCTAGCGGGGGAGGAGGTCAGAACGGAACTTCCAGGGTCCCTGTGCCCTCTCACACCACTTCCCCCAACCATCACAGGCGGAGCAGCTGGCCCGGGAACTGGCCTGGTGCGTGGAGCAGCTGGAGCTGGGCCTCAGGACGCAAAGACCCACCCCGAAACAGAGTGAGGGCTCTTCTGTAGTTAGGGATGTGGATAGTGACAGTATCTTGGAGTGCAGATACTGCCAGAGATGAAATTGTTGCTTTTGTGGTAGGATGATAGGTGAACAAAGAGGTCACTACTCATTTTTTTAAAGAATAATTTTATTTCCAGTCAACCATGTGGAAGTCCAACTCCTTAACTACCATGCCTCCTGCTGGCCTCCACTACTACTGCTTTATTTACTTTAAGAGGTTTTTTGTTTTTGTTTTTGCCATAGGGCACATGTGCTTGCTGGGGAAGGAGAGAGTAACAATGAGAGGGAAAGTGAGAAATCTCTCTCACACACACACAGACACACACGCACGCACGCACGCACGGGGATGGCCAGGTCACAGTTCCTGGGTTTCATTCTTCTCCCAGGATCTTGGGCAGGCATGCACATATGCCCAGCATGAGTTTAAGGCTGGATCCAGAACTCCAACAAACAGTAGTGGACCACGTGAGAGTCCAACAACATAATCGCTATGCCATCTGCTGGCCCCCACTACTGGTTTTTGTTTGTTTTGTTTCTAAACTACTTTATTTTTGTTGTTGTTTGAGAGGTTTTTGCTATAGGGTGTGTGCACTCGCCAGCCAGCCAGCCAGACAACAAGAAATCACCCATGGAGCAATCCCAGCTCCTCCATTCTCCTCTCGGGATCTTGAGCGTGCATGCACACGCGCCCAGCATGAGTTTTAAGCCACCGGGTCCGGGACGCGAACCGTGATCGACTACATGGGAGTCCAGCGACACGGCCATTACACTAACTGCAGTCCCTAAACTATTTTTATCCTCAGAAAAGCAGGCTGTTGGAGCCATCCGGACTCTGCGCAGTGGAAGAACCCCCCTGCCCCGGAAGAGGCAGCTAATGCGCTCCTTGTTTGGAGATTACAGGGCTCAAATGGAAGAAGAATGGCATCGGGCACTGCGGGCGCTCAGGGCTGGTGAGGAGCTCAGGAAACCTAGGGGGTAGGGAGTGGGAGGAAGAAAAACAGAGCCTCCAGTCCTGAAGGAGAAAGAGATGGGCTCAGGGAGACCTGAGGGAGCTTGGACCTCAGGGACAGAACTAGGGACTGGGAGTCAGGGGCAGAGGTGGGCTGAAGGGAGCTGGGAAGGGCCTGGTTCTCTGCTGACCATGCAGCCAGGTTCTACAGCAGTTTAAGCACAACTCCTGGTTTCTGAGCCAGATGACCTGGGTTTAAATCCTTGACCTACCACTTAGCATTAATATCTTGGGCAAATTACTGAATTTCATTGAGTTTAAATTGGAGTGTGGGGCTGATAACAGCTACTGTATAGTTATTACAAGGAGGTTAGTGTTGTATGGGAACGTAGAACGGTGACCACCGAGTTCTGATAGTCTGCTCTCCTTCCAGCAGATGCCCATTCAGCTCAGGTGCAGTCTGTAGGTGCCACCACCAGAAAGAAGAGCAGAAGGGTCTGCAGACTTCGTCCAAGAGGGGGAGCCAAGACCACTATGGACACTCCTGTGGAAGAGTTTAAGTTCAATTTTTTTTAGCCTCTCCCTTATCCTGGAGCAGCCACCCTCCCCCAGTGGCGTGAGAGGAGCCTTCCCAGCAGATAGAGGGTTGGTCTGTCCCTGGCTGGTTTGTAGAGTTTAAGTTCAATTTTTTTAGCCTCTCCCTTATCCTGGAGCAGCCACCCTCCCCCAGTGGCGTGGGTTACAGAACCTTCCCAGCAGATACGGGGTTGGTCTGTCCCTGGCTGGTTTGTAGAGTTTAAGTTCAATTTTTTTAGCCTCTCCCTTATCCTGGAGCAGCCACCCTCCCCCAGTGGCGTGGGTTACAGAACCTTCCCAGCAGATACGGGGTTGGTCTGTCCCTGGCTGGTTTGTAGAGTTTAAGTTCAATTTTTTTAGCCTCTCCCTTATCCTGGAGCAGCCACCCTCCCCCAGTGGCGTGGGTTACAGAACCTTCCCAGCAGATACGGGGTTGGTCTGTCCCTGGCTGGTTTGTAGAGTTTAAGTTCAATTTTTTTAGCCTCTCCCTTATCCTGGAGCAGCCACCCTCCCCCAGTGGCGTGGGTTACAGAACCTTCCCAGCAGATACGGGGTTGGTCTGTCCCTGGCTGGTTTGTAGAGTTTAAGTTCAATTTTTTTAGCCTCTCCCTTATCCTGGAGCAGCCACCCTCCCCCAGTGGCGTGGGTTACAGAACCTTCCCAGCAGATACGGGGTTGGTCTGTCCCTGGCTGGTTTGTAGAGTTTAAGTTCAATTTTTTTAGCCTCTCCCTTATCCTGGAGCAGCCACCCTCCCCCAGTGGCGTGGGTTACAGAACCTTCCCAGCAGATACGGGGTTGGTCTGTCCCTGGCTGGTTTGTAGAGTTTAAGTTCAATTTTTTTAGCCTCTCCCTTATCCTGGAGCAGCCACCCTCCCCCAGTGGCGTGGGTTACAGAACCTTCCCAGCAGATACGGGGTTGGTCTGTCCCTGGCTGGTTTGTAGAGTTTAAGTTCAATTTTTTTAGCCTCTCCCTTATCCTGGAGCAGCCACCCTCCCCCAGTGGCGTGGGTTACAGAACCTTCCCAGCAGATACGGGGTTGGTCTGTCCCTGGCTGGTTTGTAGAGTTTAAGTTCAATTTTTTTAGCCTCTCCCTTATCCTGGAGCAGCCACCCTCCCCCAGTGGCGTGGGTTACAGAACCTTCCCAGCAGATACGGGGTTGGTCTGTCCCTGGCTGGTTTGTAGAGTTTAAGTTCAATTTTTTTAGCCTCTCCCTTATCCTGGAGCAGCCACCCTCCCCCAGTGGCGTGGGTTACAGAACCTTCCCAGCAGATACGGGGTTGGTCTGTCCCTGGCTGGTTTGTAGAGTTTAAGTTCAATTTTTTTAGCCTCTCCCTTATCCTGGAGCAGCCACCCTCCCCCAGTGGCGTGGGTTACAGAACCTTCCCAGCAGATACGGGGTTGGTCTGTCCCTGGCTGGTTTGTAGAGTTTAAGTTCAATTTTTTTAGCCTCTCCCTTATCCTGGAGCAGCCACCCTCCCCCAGTGGCGTGGGTTACAGAACCTTCCCAGCAGATACGGGGTTGGTCTGTCCCTGGCTGGTTTGTAGAGTTTAAGTTCAATTTTTTTAGCCTCTCCCTTATCCTGGAGCAGCCACCCTCCCCCAGTGGCGTGGGTTACAGAACCTTCCCAGCAGATACGGGGTTGGTCTGTCCCTGGCTGGTTTGTATCTGGGATTATTAGTTCAGCAAGACCTTATCTGTAGGTTTTCCAAAGAAATGCCCCTCCTGCCAGAATAAGGAGAGTTGCATTTAGAAAATCGACAATAAGTTGAAATAGATACTGGGTGTGTTGTGGGAAGAATATTGTCCCCAGTCTTGAGTATTAGATTGATTAGCTGTTGAGGATAAGAATTAGTAGGAAAGCCTTACTGGTGCTCACTTCGAAAGGATGCCCTGTCAGCTGGCCTGGTACTCATGCCATTGTGTTATAGCACCATAATAAAGCTATTTTTACAAAGATATGTAATGACAAAGTGTGCTAACCACCTGTTAGCAAAAGCATAGATGAGGCAGAGGTCTACTACTCATCCCAGTGCTTGGTCCTGTGTCCTTGTTATCTTCATTCCTAGGGACCTCTAGTCCTTAGGGAAACAGTGTGGCCCCCACCAGGCTGGGCTCTGTTCTTAGGATCCAGGACCTTCTTGCACTAGAAGTCCCAGGCAAAGACCTGGGTCGAGTGCTCCAGTAAGGTTGGGAGAGCTGGGCTGGGGCCCGAGGAGCTGGAGCTGGGGCCAGGGCCAGTGAAAGGCCCTGTCTCAATTTCCCTGACTGACCAGGGGGCTGCAGATGGAACTGGGCTTTTTTGTTTTCTGAGAGACTTTTGCAATCTACAGGGCGTGTGTGCTTACCAGAGAGAAAGTGAAAAATCACCCTCAGGGATGATGGCCATAATCCTTTCTTTTCCTATCTCCTCTCAGGATTTGGGGCACACATGCACATGTGCCCTGCATGTTTTAAGCTGCCAGGTCCAGGACTCAAACTGTGGTTGATTACATGGGAGTCCAGTGACATAACCATTATGCCATCTGCTGATCCATTATTTCTTCCTTAAAATTTCTTTTTTGTTAAGTTTTTTAAAGAATTATTTATTTAATTTTATTTATTCATTTATTTGTTTTCATTTGACCAGAGAGACAGAAACACAGAAGGAAAGAAAGCAAGCTGTCCCGACCCGGGGGGACAGCCGAACGGGTTTCTTGAGTGAAGGAGTGAGAGCCATGGCAAGCAGCGTAGTGTTACAGCACGGAGACGACAGTGTCGTCTGTTTATTGTGGGCAGCACGGTACAGCACAGAGACGACGCAGTGTCACAGTTCTTAAGGGTCGCGTCGTCTACTGTGAGCAGCACGGAGACGACGTGGTATCACAGCTCTTCAGGGTCGTCCGGAGACGATGTAGTGTTACAGCTCTTCAGGGTCTCCCAGTTTGTCTGGAGACGATGCAGTGTCAGCTCTTCAGGATCTTCAGGGTCGTCTGGAGACTGCGCGGTGTTTCAGCTCTTCAGGCTCTTCAGTTGTCGTCTTCCTGGTCGTCGTCGTCGTCTCGGTCGTCGTCGTCGTCTGTGTCGTCTTCTCGGTCGTCTGTGTCGTCTGGCTACTGTGGGCCAGGCATCATGGTTATATA